TCATTGAAAAAAAATCTGCATCCTGGCATCAGGACGCATTGTCGCCAACGTGTTAACAGAACTGCGGATAGGAAGGTTGCCAGGTATCGATTCCTGATAACGCAAATCAAGAGGGATTTTTTGGTGAAATATTAAAAAAGAGCCTCATAAGGAGACACCTTGAGAGAGCTCTGTAGACTTATACGAATGGCAAACAACAATGAAGGGAGTTTTAAGTCCCAGTCTTGTGGATAGTCAATTGCAAGGGATGCAAGGCATTTCTTAATAGTTGCATTCATGCGTTCAACTAACCCATTCCCTCTAGGATGATATGGTGTCGTTCGAGTTTTTTTAATACCAACCAAATGACATATTGCCTTTAACAAATATGATTCAAAGTTGGGCCCTAGATCAGAATGAAGGGCATCAGGCAACCCACACCTGAAGAAAACCTCATTGACTAATATACAGGCAATAGTGTCTGCTGTTGGGTTGGGTAAGGCAAAAGCCTCCACCCAGCGAGTCCCATAATCACAAACCACCAGAATGCAACAGTTTCCTCTTGGTGTAATAGGCAAGGACACGAGCATATCGCAAGCCCAAATAGATAATGGTTGCGCAATAGGCATTGAATGCAAAGGCTCCTGAATTGCAGGTCGCTTAACATGGAAAGATTGACACATAAAACAAGTGGATATCCAATCCCGTACTGATTCCTCCATACCCCACCAGTAATACCTATCCTGCAACCTAGCCATGGTTTTTTGCACACCCAGGTGTCCAGCAGTTGGGTTGTCATGAGCCATTCGTAAAAGTATCTGTCTCTCAGACACTGGAACCAAAATACGTTGCTTATATTGAAGGTATCCATTTGGACAAGTGATCTCATCACGCTTGACTAGATGCAAATAATGGGAGAGCTCTGCATCCATTCTAACATCAGGAATTTCCACATACCTATTGTTTATTATATCCAATATCACAGACAATTTTGTACAACAACGTTGCTGTTGAAGTAGGTCATAAGCGTTCCACCCTGAACAAAGTTGCACAGTTGCAATACCAGAAGAATCTGAAGGGAGTGGTGGAAAAATATCCTCATTGGCTTCATTTAAACTATTTTGTGAATCAAGAAGTGGCAGACGAGATAAACCATCTGCATGCAGATTAGATTTGCCAGGCCGATATTCAATAGAATACTGGAACTGTTCAAGTTCCATGACCCACCGTGCAAGACGGCCTTTGGGATCTTTGAGGGATCGCAAATACTTAAAGAGGGGCGTGATCTGTTCGGAGCACAAAGGGTTGTTGTGTCAAGTACGCTCGAAAGTGTCGAGTTCCCCATACAATAGCAAGTGCCTCTCTTTCTGTTGCTGAATAATTCCTCTCCCTGCTATTAAGCATTTTGCTGGCAAAAGCAATAGGGTGTTCCTTCCCATTTACTTTTTGAGATAAGACTGCACCTAAACCAACACCAGAAGCATCTGTGTCAAGAATGAATGGTTTAAAAAAGTCAGGAAAGGCCAGTATAGGAGCCTGCAATATGGCAGCTTTGAGCTGTGAAAAATATTGGAATGCTGTTGGTGACCAGTTTATTCGTGCTTTCTTCTCAGTCATAGCCACTAGAGGCTTAGCAATTGTTGAGAAATTCTTGATGAATCATCTGTAATAATGGCAGCTTTGAGCTGTGAAAAATATTGGAATGCTGTTGGTGAGCAGTTTATTCGTGCTTTCTTCTCAGTCATAGCCACTAGAGGCTTAGCAATTGTTGAGAAATTCTTGATGAATCATCTGTAATAAGAGACTAAACCATGAAAGCTACGGACTTCCTTAACATTCGATGGAAATTTCCATTCCTGAATTGCTTGAACTTTAGCAGTATCTGGAGAAATACCCTGACCTGACACTACATGGCCTAGATATTGAATCTCTCTCTTCAAGAAGTGACATTTCTGTGACTTTAAAGTGAAACCGACTGCTCGCAACCGATCAAACACTTTCTGTAGCCTAATAAGATGATCTTGGAAATTGTGTGAAAAAAACAAGAATATCATCAATATATGACAAGCATATTTCCCACTGGAGACCTTTTAGAGTGTGTTGCATAGCCCGTTGAAATGTTGCTGGTGCATTAGTTAAACAAAAGGGCATCACCAAAAATTGATACAAGCCAACATGTGTAGGGAAAGCTGTTTTTGGTTTATCTTCCTCAGCAACTTCAATTTGCCAATAACCAGAGGCTATATCAAGACTAGAGAAAATCGTTGCATCTGATAATGAGTCAAGACACTCATCGATTCTGGGTAGAGCATAGCTATCTTTGATAGTGACATCATTTAATCGGCGAAAGTCAATGCAAAAACGCCAAGTGCCATCCTTCTTCTGAACCAAAACCACTGGCGAGCTCCATGGGCTCACCGAAGGCTCGATAAGACCATGATGCAACATATCACTGATTTGCTCTTTAATGATTTGTCTTTTGTCAGGAGCAGCACGCCGTACAAACTGTCGAACAGGGAGTGTATCCCCTGTGTTAATATGGTGTTGAACACCTTTTCCACGACCTAGCTTTGTTCTAGGGAAAGTGAAAATATCCTGATTTTCAATCAGAAATTGATGAAACTGCTGCACCTGATCTGGAGATAGACTATTCCAGTCAATGTCGAATAGATGAAAATCAGTTGACATAGACAAAGCATCCTTCGGAGCAACACTAGAGGTGGTATGCGCTGCACAAACCATGTGCTTCGAATCAAGATCTGTGGCAGGCTGAATAGCACACACCACATTTGCAAAACCTAGGTGTTGATTGCGGTATAGAATGACTTCTTCCTGGCCCAAATTGACCAGGCGTGCAAGAAGCATATTATTATGAATTGGACCTATGCTTCTAGCTAATACCAATCCATCAGGTAAGCTAGAATGTGGCTCTATCATTACAATGTCATGACAATCTGTGGACACATCAGAGAGCAAAACGGGGAAACAAATTTCAGACCGGGCAGGCACCACACTATTTTCTGCTGCCTGAATGAGACCCAATGGCTGAAAAGAATCTGGACCTGTTTTCCTCACTATCTGCTTTTGATCTAAATCTAACATAAAAGTTCCCTGGGGGTTTGAGATTAAAAAGTCGTATCCCAACAGAATGCAAGGGTCCAGCAACTTAGGCAGTACCCAGAAGGTATGGAGGACAATAAAATTGCTGATATAACGGTAGGTGTTTCTTTTTGCCAAGAGATTCTATTTTGGCTTATTTTGATTTGATTCTTCAAGAAATTACTATCCACTAAACTCAAAGCAGCACCCGTATCCACCAACAACTTACAAGGTTTCCCCTCTATATGTGCTTGCAAAAGCAGTTGTGTAGGGTTTGGGAGGACATCTGCAACAATTCCTACAGAAAGTGGCTCATGGCTTTTGGCTTTACTACTAATCTTCAGAATCCCTTTTACTGGCTCATCAATTCTAGTTGATAAATTAATCCTGTCTGTATTTGGGTTGGACTGTGGAGAGATAACTTCATGGTCAGCAAAATGAACTTTCTTTGAGAGAAGATGTGGGGCAGTCTCATTTGTGGCTGGTGCTGGCCCCTTCACACCAACCTGCCCTAGTTTCCCAACGGGTTGGAAGATTTGTGGTGCTTGTCAAGAACTTGGGAAACTTTGCAATAGCGAGGGCTATGCCCCTTCTTCCCACAGTTCTTGCAAAGCCAATTTTTCCGTGAATAACAATCTGCGAAAGAATGGCCACTTTTTTTGCAACATCCACATCCAGACCTCTCGGATGTCTCTCCTGCGAGAGTGAGATCTGCCGAAACTACTTGAGCGTCGTCCACTCCTATATCCTTCACTGTCCGAACTGGAGCTTGAATCTCGGTGCCTTGAGTGCCTCCTAGTCTTTGACTGCAAAAGATCCTTCATCATTGATCTCAACTCGGCGACCTCATGTCGCAATTCCTGAATGTCCCTAGATTGTGAAGCAGATGAAGGCATTGGGTCTGGAGGGGAAGAAAAAGCAGCAGCAGCACCATATGCTGCGGGGTTTATTGACCAAGGTTCAGTGTGAGAAGACTGCAAGGCCTCTGCTGCCTCCAAGCGTTGTGCATGGGCTAGGGCGTCAGTCAAATTGTCATATAGATGTTCATTGATTTTTTCCCGCCAACGCTGTGGATGCCCTGCAACAAATTTTCTGAAGTATTGTTTGTCCTCTTCAGGATTTGGGCCTATAACAACATGGTACAAGTGTCTCAGGGATCTTTCGTACTCTCCCACCTTCTCGCCATCACGAAAAATCCTAACCTCATACTCACCTAGCCTGGAGAAATTACTATCCACTAAACTCAAAGCAGCACCCGTATCCACCAACAACTTACAAGGTTTCCCCTCTATATGTGCTTGCAAAAGCAGTTGTGTAGGGTTTGGGAGGACATCTGCAACAATTCCTACAAAAAGTGGCTCATGGCTTTTGGCTTTACGACTAATCTTCAAAATCCCTTTTACTGGCTCATCAATTCTAGTTGATAAATTAAGCCTGTCTGTATTCGGGTTGGACTGTGGAGAGATAACTTCATGGTCAGCAAAATGAACTTTCTTTGAGAGAAGATGTGGGGCAGTCTCATTCGTGGCTGGTGCTGGCCCCTTCACACCAACCTGCCCTAGTTTCCCAACGGGTTGGAAGATTTGTGGTGCTTCCCAAGAACTTGGGAAGCTTTGCAATAGCGAGGGCTATGCCCCTTCTTCCCACAGTTCTTGCAGAGCCAATTTTTCCGTGTATAACAATCTGCGAAAGAATGGCCACTTTTTTTTTTGCAAAATCCACATCCCGACCTCTCGGATGACCTTGAGTCTCTCCTGCGAGAGTGAGATCTGCCGAAACTACTTGAGCGTCGTCCACTCTTATATCCTTCACTGTCCGAACTGGAGCTTGAATCTCGGTGCCTTGAGTGCCTCCTAGTCTTTGACTGCAAAAGATCCTTCATCATTGATCTCAACTCGGCGATCTCATGTCGCAATTCCTGAATGTCCCTAGATAGTGAAGCAGATGAAGGCATTGGGTCTGGAGGGGAAGAAAAAGCAGCAGCAGCACCATATGCTGCGGGGTTTATTGACCAAGGTTCAGTGTGAGAAGACTCCAAGGCCTCTGCTGCCTCCAAGCGTTGTGCATGGGCTAGGGCGTCAGTCAAATTATCATATAGATGTTCATTGATTTTTTTCCCGCCAACGCTGTGGAAGCCCTGCAACAAATTTTCTTTTCATAACAAACAGGAGAAGTCCTAAACCCGGATATTGTTGTACCATGTTCACAGAGTCCCTAGAAAGCATGAGAGGGTGGAAGAGCGGTAGTGCTTTTTAGGATTGGAGTATGAGTGGATCGGACCTGTGACTCAGTACACGACACTTGTACCAAAAGTTAAGTCAAAAATTAAGGAGTTTACTAGGCCACCGTAAATTCGTGTGGCAGACTTTTCGTCTAGGAAGACGTTTCGTCTCCTAGTTTATTAAGGAAAAGACACCCTCACTCCACCCATTTGCTTCTGCAATTTTTGTGTATAAATCCAAATAAGATGACAAGTTAGAATGGGATTGATAGATAGGAGGGCACATATGCAGAGTTGATGTGACTGTAGTTGTGGCGTTTTCTTCCCACTTTCCTCTTTTTATTACGTAATTAATGAACACATAGAAAAATGAGGATTTATGATGTTCTGATTGAAGAATCTGAATCTGAAACAAATTAAATGTCCAGGTTTAGTGTGAGCGCATAGAAGTCTGGGCGATTGGAGACGTGTAGAGCACACAGAGTCGTACTTATGGAAAGATGCAGAGCATCCGATAAACGCCTCCTTCCCGTTGCAGGTTCGGTCACTCGTTGGTGCAGAACGAAGTGCTGATGCTCTCCGAAGAAGGCGAAGAGAGTACGTACTTCCTGAAGGACAATTACGGGAACGCCACACCGCTGCTCGAGAACGGAATCGCGGCTCTGCTTCTCGGCGTCGCAGGTCTGCCGTCGTTCGTCTTTCGCGAAACAGGAAACCGAACTTTGCAGTCGAAGGAGAAAACTGAATTTTTTTTTTCAGGGCAGCACACCCAGTCTTTCGATCGACATTTTGCAGACGGCGTTCGGAATTACCTCTTGAAACTCTCCTCGAACGATTTCGGCATGGATCTCGTGTCCGTCAGCGTTCAGGTTGGCATACGACTTATATGGAATCCTCTCGCCAAAGGAGCTCATAGTCGCGATACGTTGCTCCCGTTCGGGCTGCAGCCGCTCCGTCACGTGCCTTTTCCTTGTTTTCGGATCGCGATACCTGCAGCGCGGCCGAGATCACGGCATCCTCGGGTACAACGAATACAGGGCGTTTTGCGGGACGGAGAAACTCAAGGATTGGGATTCCAGGCCGGAGGAATTCTCCCAGAAGAAATGGGACATCGTTCGGAGCCTCTACACGTCTGACCCTCTCGCGATCTCTCTCCTCTCGTTTCGTCGTCGTTTTTTTTCGGGAAGAAAGGAATCGAGCGGATGATTTTTTTGTCGTCGAGCAGGGACCCGGACGACATGGACATCTACAGCGCGGGTTTCCTGGAACCACCGGTGGCGAGCGACGCCTTGATCGGCAGGACCCTCGCCTGCTACGTGGCCGAGGGCTTCCGTCGTCTCAAGTACGGTGATCGCTTCTTCTTCACGCACGCCGGGCTCCCGAACAGCTTCACTCCCGAGCAGGTCCAGGTCATCGCGAACAGAAAGCTGGGAGACGTCATCTGTGACAATTCCGTGGCCACTTCCCTTCAACCGTTGGTCATGCGCCCTGCCGGAGCCGGGTAATCACTCGTACCTCCAGTATCGATATCGGTAGTTTTGCCGGTCGGAAGTGGGGATATGGCCAACGAAATCGCGTCCTCTAAATCACACGCCTCGAGAAAGAGTCCATCAGATAGTCCCGATCGCTAATCGGGAATTTCACCTCATCAACATTTCTCAATCTCTGGGTTACGACTTCTAGGGGGATTCAGAGTGGATCACATAGGGGGGGGGGACAGGAAAATCTTTTAGAAGAGAGAAATGTTAGTTCCTCGACTGGCCTCATGCCTTTCAAGCCAGTCGAGGCATTTTCACCGTTTTCCCAAGGAAAACCTATTTCCTATTGCAGTTAAAAGAATCTCCACAGGAGGAAGAATCCATCAAGCGGGTCGTTAGGGACTAGCTTCAAATTCATATGAGATGTAGAGCTTTTACATTGGGAGGTAGGGGAGGGGGGGGGAAGCCCTTACTGCGAGACTAAGAAAATTTAGTACGTTTAAAAGTGAATGGAAAGAGGGATGAGAAGGTGCCCTCAACTAACTACGTCGTCTTCAAAAGCGAGAATCTTTTTGCCACGTGTTCGTGTACATACTAAATTTTACAAATGCACAAAAAAGGAATTCACGGTTTGCCGGTCGAGACGGATCGAGAATCCTAATGAAGACTGATGGAAAAGCTATCGCTCTCGATCGCCTCTTCCGCTCGTGCACCACCCTTTTTACGTCTGTTCCAGGATCCATCCGAAATTTAAGCAAGAGCTACATTGTAGCCGTCCCTTCTATGCGCACGACTCACTCCTTGCCCCGTCGAGCTTATCAAGTACCCTCTTTTTCCAATTTTTCAAATTCTGTCCCTCGTAAAATGTCACAGGTGATTTCATGCGGAATCCACGTCGGTTCGCCGTTCGTTAACCACCGAGACGGATTCCCGAATCCGTCTTCGACGAACGCCTTTTCTCGTTCCCAAAGGGTGACCGATCGCATGGGACCTCGTTCCTCGATGACGATTCCAAAAGACTCACACGATCGTAATGATGTGCACGTGAGCGACCGCATTGCTTTTCCCGACTCTCGCATTCCAATTTTCGTTCGGGTCACGACCGATACTCTTTGGACGAGCGCATCCAAAACCAACGAATATTGCAAGATTCATTGGCGAGAAAATTTGACGCGATGATTCCATGGCAATTCGACAGCAATTCGATGGTCGATCCAGTAAATCAACGGTGAATCCACAGTATTTTCCTTTTTCTATTTTTAACATGTTGGGAAAAAAAAAGTCGTTTGGGGTGCCCCGGGTGCCCCTCTTTAAAAACGGAGGATTTCATCTTGCCTCACCTTTTCTTCTTCCAAGTCGCAACTCAACTTTTCTCATAGTCCTCGTGCTGCTCGCTACGCTTGCTCGAAGAGTTCAGCAAGTGGTGCAACGTACCGAGAGACGAAGAAAAATGTTTTCTCGGTTCTCGACGATATATTTTGATCTCGACTTGCGATTCACGATCGTTATAAAGTCGAGCCGTTGCAGGAACGGATGTTTGAAGCTAGCGCTTGCGCACATACTTTACCATGTACTGTAGTCGGGGATTGCTGTCTGGGCCTGTACACGTAAAGCCAATATGCAAGCAGCTGGGGTCTGTTTTTTTTTATTTCTTTTCTTCAGTATACCTTTTTTTCCTTCTCGTTATCGCTTGGTGCTTCACGGAGAAATTTTAATCTCGAGCCCTCGCGCGGCCTGCAGGTTAGGCCAAGGTTAGGCTCGTCCCACGGTTTCAAAATCGCCGCTAGATCATCGACTCGATTCCTCCCTATTTTCAGCAACGTAAATATTGGGGGTCGTCGAGTTGTCGTGCACCGCAAAATGGAGTCGTGGACTCGCAAGAGTTGAGAATCCCTCTCTCGCATCGAGCGAAGCGTCATCGACATCATCTAAACGAGAAACGAAAAACACGATCGACGGATATCGCGTTCGTTTCCACGTAGCAGACGACTTTGTTAACCGTACCCATAGCTGAATATCGATTGGCATTTTTCGTTTAAGATTCCGGTTGCCGTGCAAATAGCAATCACTCGATTTAAACGAAATCGGATATCGGCTTCATTTTTTAGAATCCAAAGGAAATGCGAGACTCGTAGCAAACGATATCGTGGCCTCGGCCACTTCTGCTCCCGGATCCATCGAAACGTTGGGTGGACGGCGACGAACGAGGAAGAAACGAATCTCGTCGATCGAGAATAGGCAATATGTTTTATCGTTGCTGCAGGAACTCGCCGGTGTCGTGTGCCTCCAGACCTCCAATGGACCTCACGCCGTGGCAAGAATCCGACTAAAAACCGTGGAAACCTTCCTTTGCGAGCCCAATAAACTTGGTTTCGTCACGATATCGAGAGAATCTATCGCATCGGGCCGGAAGATGCCGTCCGCGTTCCCGTCGTCCGTTTCGGTATCGAGTGCGGAACGGATTGCCAAAGAAAAGAGAAAGTCGCGCTTAGGAATCGCATGGGGTCGCCGTACCGACAGAACGTCGGCCTGGCTCCATCCGACTGGAATCGAGTCCAAGACCGAGCCGTTTCCTCGTCGGAATCTTCTCCGTCGAGACTCCTTCTCGTTCGCGAATCCATCTTCTCCCTTTCCGGCTGGGTTGAGGTAAAACCACTCGAGTTGGGACGTCTACGTTTATCGTTAATGAATACGCATTCGCGAGATTGACATCAGAGTTCGTTCTTCCTAACCCAAGACGACCATGTTGCCAAGCGAAAGACTTGCGGTGGCCGCGATCGTCGAGCACGATTTCCAAGTATCGGACAAAAACGAATGTCGCGTCGCGGACGGGACAAATTCAAGCAAACGTACGGAGGCGATCTGATTTGAGAAACGCTTCCCACGCGGGATTCTTAATTCTGTGATCGGATCTCATTCCACAGGAAACTAGGGAACGTAGAGGACTGCTAAAAGGGAATACGCATGCCACGACCGGATTTCCGTCATACTTCTGGCGTGTCCAAACGACGTTCCGTTCCGACTTCATATTTTCGCATCTCAGTTCGGACACCCACGTCATTGGAATTATCGGAAGCTATAAGGCTTCGACGGTCACCACCTTTATCATTCTCAAACCTACTCGTATCATGCAGCCGGACGCAAAAAATGAAATACAGGTGTCTGGGTCGTACCACTAAGGTGCGACGAGCGAATTCCAATCCTATCCCGGCTTAACTGTCCGAAACATCGGTGGTTTTACCCTGCTCCATTTTTCCTTTCAATATTTCTAAGGAAACATGCTTCCGACGCGGCAACCGAGGGTTGCAGAGAGGTACGACAAGCCCTTCTCTAAACAGATGGCAAAAAAACACATTCCAGTTTCACGCGGTATCAGCAAGCGTACCATTAGGTCATTCCAATGCATAAGAGGCAATCATCATTACTACGTATTGCTAATAACATCGGTGCGAATCTTGACGAATGGGGTAATTCAACGTGTTTTAAAGCTGGCTACTAAAAAATAAAAATAAAAATAAATAAACAAACAGAATGCTTAGGAACGTGCCCAGTCTGCACATCGATGTTGATACGACGTACTAAAAGCATCGAAGTCTCAACGTACACAATGTTGAAGAAAATAGATAAAACATCGACGCAACGTTGAAATGAGACGAGTCTGGACATTTTCTCAACGTGCACTGCGCATGCGACGATGGAATGCCGCATGCGGATGGATATGGAAGTTTTCCACGATCGTCGGCGAGATATCGACACCTTCTTCCATCTCGACACGGACTCTATGCCGAGGACAGGACAGGACGAGAGGGTCTCGATGAAGGATGGAGATACAGAGCGATTACAGTAAAAAACGAGAACTCTGTCGATCACACCATGTATCCCTCCACACGATCTAACGACGTTATATAAAGAAAGTTTTTATACTTTAATGAAGGGGGTCTCATGGAGTCACATCAACACGTGAACTCAGTTCTCTCCGTTCCTCGGGCCATTATTGCCAAGGATCTCATTGGGTTCTGCTACTTCTTTCGTCGAATGTACGCAGGAATTCAAATACCTTCCCCGGTGCTGTCTCTGAAGAAAATATTAAGTACCGTTCCGAACGTACTGGGGACGCGTGCCAGTTGCATTTTATGAGGTAAATCCCAGCGTTAGCGAATTGGCGCCATCTCGCATAGGGATCAGGAAACCTGCTTTTTTTCCGACAGACGGACTGTCGGGCCTAGACCTTTCAAGATTCAAGATAATTAGTGATATCAAGAGGCGATTTCGCCTATTTCGATATAAAAAGAAACTCAATCCTCGGGTTACGGACCAATTAATCCCTCGTCTCCGAGACACCTCGTTGGGGACGTGTAACGTTAGACCGAATTTAGGTCTTTTTTCGAGTTTCACGAGCCATTTCAGTGCGGTCGAGGAACAGTAGGCCTATCCAGAGCTCCTCGAATCGTCTCGACTCGTTCTGAGAAGAAAGTCCCTTTAGGTCGCATGACATACAGTGTTTCCGGAATGACTTTAACCCCCGTTAATATGGGCTCCATTCTTTTGAATGGACCCTGTTGGCGCTCAGGAAAGTAGTACTTCTAACACTAGCAATAGATGTCGCTTCAAGCAATAGAAGTGTAATCGAGTCCTCAATCTCGCCGTAAGACAGTGGTCAGTGACCAGTGTTGGAGTCGAAAAAGTATCATGTGTAAAGTATATGGCAAAATCATATATTTCAGCTCAATGGAGGTAATTAGTTACATTTTAAACAGGTTTGATTGAAGATTTCAATAACAAAAATAATAATAAAATAATAATAGTCGTTTATTCATGATTCTGGAATAATCGTGCATCAGCAAATTGCATTCCATCGTCAAAGGGTTACAAAATTAAGGGGCTTGTACTGAGCCGGTGTGGCGGTCTTCTCTGGCAGTTTTCTGGTTTATCAAGCAGGTCATGAAGGGAATTGCTGACTGGTAGAATCTGCGCCTGTGGCACTTATGCTCTTGCAAGAGAGATGAGATGTTTCTTGTCAGGTTCAT